AGACGTTACCACTTGATGTGCTTTGCCTATGACGTCACATAGTAAAGGTCGTCAAACTCGAAGCGAACAGCTAGTTCATATTTTGATATCCAAAATAACCCAAATCGATAGACATGCATTAAAAGTAATATAATGTACATACTAAGCGTAAAATGTATAATTTTAAAAAAATATTTTTCAAAAATATAAAAATCATCAAATTAGAGTACTAGCGCCATCTGTTGACAATCGAAAAGAATAAACTGCTACTTTACACTTTACAGAATGCCAATATTTTTGCAATGAATTTTAAACTTAATTGGCAACAAGTTATGATTTAAGATTATGAAATGCCTTTCGTAGCAACTTGAAGTACTGGCTTCTGTACTATTATCTATTATATGATGAAAAATTTACAGGCCACCTAACTCGTCTATTATTAAAATTGTAAAAGCTTACAATTTGTTTAAGTATAATGTGGATCAATGAACTTGTTAGTTCATGAAATCGTTACAGTTTTCAATACTTCTCACTTATTTCAAATTACAGTTTTGGAAGCTTGTTAATTTTTGACGTTGGATTATTACACTAAAGTAAGATCAGCGAAATGAGATAAAGAATGAAAATTTAATAATAATCTTGCAGGGGTTCAAAACTTTTTTATTTGGTTTTTATTTAGTTTTTTATTTAGATTTGTTCAGAATTATAATAACATTAAGTTTTCATTTTATCATCTTCCAGATCTTGATCAAAATCCTTCCTATATTTTATGTATCCACATATACTTTTTATGTAGTAAATTGTTCACATTTATTATCTTGTTTTGTTGATCTTACTTTGGACTCTTATGATTGTAAAGGTTACCTACTTATTTGTCATCGTCAATTGTATTATACAGTGTTACGGGTATCTGTGTATTTTTTGTAAATAAATGTTTGTTTGATTCTATGGAGGTGCAATGTCAATATGCATTAATTAATATTAAGATATAATTAAACATGTACACAAACGGATAGGGCAATTATTAGCATGTATGAAAAACTTCGTAATATTCCATTCGTTAATGTTATTTCTCGCTATATTATGTATTCGGGTTTCTTTTTAGAGCAATATTAGATTTCATATTTAAATATATATGAGCTATCTGAAATTCAGATTTGATGTAATAAATTTGTTGATAAATGTTGGTTGTCAGTTGTTAATTATTGAAAATTACTGTTACGTGTTTATACTAAGTTTTGTCTGAAGTTTAAACGAGAAGTCTCAAAATGGACGCCCTTAGAATTTGTATTGAGCACCGTGTTGCATTTTTCTTTCGAATTATCAAAATTGAGCCACATGATCCCGCCATGATTTATTTTCAGATCTATCATCATCATCATATTAGAATGTGTTTATAATATCTTGCCTTTTATACGTCCGTGTGAATTAGACATCGATATTTAAAAAAAAGTAACAGCCAAGAGCGAGATAACTCTCACGCAGAAGGTTCCGCGTATTACATGTAAAGAAACCATAGACTCTTTATTCATTTTCTTGTATCTATAGAGTAGTAAATTTTCGTCATTTTACTATCTCTTTTATTTTATGTATAAAAATATAAATTTCAAAAGTTTTGACGTAAGTCCTTTAAGTAAGAAACCGAGAATCTTCTAATCCTTAATTCTTGTTAAATAGTTATCACGTAAAGGACTTTCTTTTCAGGTTTCATTTATCAAAAAATACAATTTTTAGTTTACAATAAAAAAAAAGAGAATTTTTAGTAGTGTAACTAACACTACTAAATATGTGGTTAGGTATTTTTTTTATTTAGCGCGTGCTTTTTATTATATATGTGCGAAGAATATGTTGAATAGTTATTTATAAATATTTAGCATATTGTTCCCTCTGTCATTCCTCTTTGCAAGAGAAAAAACCGGCACAATGACCCCGATTTTTTAAATTCGAACTTTTCAGGTGGTATTTAAATATATGTCGTGGTCAAATCGTAGAATTAACTAATTCATGACGTGGCCTGGCCAAATTAATGAATAATTTGCGTATAACGATATATGCTGCTGATCGTATGACTGCTTCATGATGTGTGTAAAATAGTTCATGTCTCAGTAAGAGGCGCTGATGTCGCATTCTTTGACCAAGCAACGGAAAACAATAACTTGATTAAGTTTAGTAAGATAATCGTAGGAGTGTAGTGCGAAGGTGCGGCGGCAAAGGCTATAGTTTTATGGATATTACAAAATTATGATAAAGATAGGATTTTGATCTAGCTTTAGAGGCTGATAAAAATATATTAGAGGACACCCTACAATTATGATATGGCCATATTGTTAAACGTTGACGCCTAAATGATTATGATCAATTTAAGGTGGCCGTTTCATGAAATGGCTGGCCGGACATGAAATGATCAATTCTACGAAATGATCACGACATAATTTGTAATTAAAAATTATAAATACGCATTAAAAAAAGGAAAATTTATAGTTATTTGTAGTTAGCAACAAAATGAATTCTTAAGTAAAAAACTCTTTTGCATAAAACTGTATACGTATTAAAGTATAATAGATTTAGAATATCTGCATTTCATAATGAGTTGTTGAATCTATTTTAGTATTGTTCACTTGAATAAAATAACTCCAACGCAAATTTTAGTTTCTTTTAGTGATACAGTTTGGTTTTTATTTTTTTTTGTTTGAAGTTTTTAATATATTACTAATAAAAAAGAAAGAATCTGCGACAAATAACTACGATTTGCCACTATATTATGTAATTAGTGCTTGCCCAGTGACTGTTTTGTATTATAGATCACCTAGCTGACATGCTGCTCATATGGTTATTTGACGAGAATTATACTCTACCTATCTATGTCGCGTATTAAAGAGATAATATCTTACAGCTTATTGCTAAAATTTCAACTTCTGTGATGGACTTAGAAACGTTTTTTTCATGTAAATAAAATTTGTATAAAATGTTATATAAGATTCATATTAAAAATAGTACCAAAATTGATAACAAACATCAATAAATGTGGAAATATAATGCCAGTTACAAAGTTTTTTAATTACCTTCCCAATACAGCTTTCTTACCTTTTCAGCCTGCGGAATCTTTAGGCTCATTTATATTGGTCGGTCATTAGTCAATTATATGATCCCTCATTTGTAACCAGAGTATTGACTCTTCCTTTTTATGACACATATTTTTCAAAAAAATGTACGACAAACTTACGAATGAAATGTGACCCCTTGGTCTTTAGATGTCGTCTACAGTTTCGCATAACACAGGATGGCATTTTTAAAATTATTATAGTACCTAAACGTAAACAATCGTCTGGCTTTCGCCAGACTGCTGTGCTAATGAGGAAGTGTTTAAAGAAGAAAGCACTAAAAAGCACCTTACTAGATAATTACTCTAGCAAAAGTTGACGAATGGACCAAACATAGTAATATGAGTTCCTTTTAAGTACCTAACATATTGAAAAACTGAAATTTGCAAAGTTCGAAACTTAGATATCAAAAAGTAAAAATAGAATACGAGTTGTTTATTGAGTTTTGAAATTTAATTTATTTTATGCATGAAAGAAAACAGGAATGTAAGGTTACAAAATTTGAATTCAAGTTACCTATTTACCCTTTTTATTGTAATATAACTGATTACAATATTATTTTTATGTCTTTATTAGTAATGGGCCATGGGTGTAACGAAACGTAAATTTGACGGTATTTGTAATTTAGTGTTGCTAGTACGAAAAAAAGAGTAAATATCAGGAATATCGACCTAAGTGATATAAAATAAATTGTTAAAAATAAGTAAATGTGACTTTCAACTAACTAAACTTAGTTTTCTATTGAGTTACGTAGTAAATTCCAGATTAAAATAATTTTGTTATAGTAACACGAGATATTTTATGTATGACTTGCGAGATTATTACTGTTGTTTTTATGTTTTTATTCTATTCACGGCTATGTTATTGTTCTCGTGTGACATTTTAATTTTATTATAGTTACAAAGCAAAAAAATTTTTCATATCTTATTAAAGATAAAAATCGTGAAAAAGTTAAGAAACACTTTAGTGCAATAATAGACAGTAATACAAGGAATCACGGCACGTCATGAAATTTCACAAAAACTAATATTAACATCGTAATAAACATAGAGATTCTGATTTTGAGTCTTCAAATTGCACGATTACCTTATTATGTAAAAATTAAAAGTTATTATTTTGTTTGTGTTTCACATTATTGGGGACACTATCCTCCATTGTGTGACGTCACTGTGGCAACAGCTTCAGATTAGTCATAAAGATACGATTATTTTATAAATAAAATTCCTAGATGGTGCTGTTCTTAAAATATGTATATATTTTTTTATTTCGTAATCGTTCGTTGGATGGCATTGCTCATGTTTTATTAACATCTTTTAATCTTCTTTTCTTTCATCTGTTCTGTATACATATCAAAATGACGGACAGCGTTTTCGAGGTTATAAAAGAAGTTTAAATTTTGATTTCATTGGTCAGCTGCACAAACGTCCATTAAGGTTTATTGATGACTTAAAGCTCTAATGAATGGCCTTAATTTAAAAAAAGTTGTATCGCTAATGTCGCATTAAACTAATAACAGTTATAATGGACGTTATTGGAGTAAGTACGGCAAAAAATCTCTAAATTTTATTTTTCCGAAATATTAGATTCATGGCTTTTTAAATTTATAAAAATAGTTAAAGTATTATTTCAAACAAGGCATGTTTTGTGGTGGAGCCAGTTTTAGTGCATGCTAAAAGCATACCTTAGAGGAAAACGTTAGATGAACAGGAAAAAGGAATACTGGTGAAGACATAACTATTTAATGAAACGACAGCTATATTACTCATTTATGTGTTTTTGCTTATGTATTATATATACTCTATTAATCTTTTTTGCCTATAAAATAGCAAATGAAGGGCTTAATACAAAAAAAAGGTGAGTTATACAATATTATAACAATTTAAATCTATTTTGATGAGATTGACTGACAAACAACGACAAGTAAATCTCCCTATTTGTGGGTAATTTCAATAAGGAACTGTTATTCCGAAATTCTTCCCTCCGCTCCGATCCGAGTCGAATTGTTTATTCTTCAGTGTTTATTGTTTAATAGAATAAGGAATTATTAGGAAACTATGATGCAAGCATACCGATTTAGCGTCAATTTTAACTAAAATAGCATTTTTAATTTGTTTTAATTATATTACTGATTTTTATGAAAAATGTCTAGTAGTTCCGTAGAAGACATTCCTGATCAGTGCAAAGTGAGTTGTTTATTTACTATATTTCCTCATAACTCCTATCTTTCAATCGTTAGTACATGACCTTGTTATCTCGAGTCTTGAATCTTAATATTATAGGAATGGATATGCTATTAAAATACCCTTGTTTTTCATGTTTACTAATAATTGCGTCATATAAATTTGAAGGTCGGTGTATAAGCAACTAAATTTGTTCCATTGTCCAAGATATGGTATTTGTTATGTTGATTATGGAACATACCGCATAGCAATATGTTTTTCACAATTTCTTTATAGGACAAAGAAACTATAATTTAAACCCATTCTGCTATTTTAATTAAAGGTAACATTATGTTGTTCAGTCAATTGCAGGATTGCAAATATAGAAAATTAAAAATTTCATCCAGAATTCAGTGTTGATAAAATGAGGGTATGAAAAAAATATTTCTTATGTCCTTCATAATGTTATCCTTACTAAAAATTAAATCTGAAATCATCAATTTATTTATAAATTACTATTGCATTATGCACTCTTCCAATCCAATTTCAATCCAACTTAGAATTCAATCAGATATAAACTAATTATAGTCAAAATAAAATACTTTATATAAAATTTGATTATTTATTGTTTGTATGATATAAGTACTTTTAAGTGTTATTTACTTTTGTATTAAATAATCTCTATAGAAGTAATGAACAATACAATGGAAACTAGTGACCTAGTGTTTCAACTCAATTGGGCTGTTTCTGAATTTTGAGAAAAAAAAATTTAAAAGAAATTTTGCCTTATTTAGGTTCTACCTCTATACAACAATTTTATTTCGCCTGCTGTAGATCATGTCTAAAGGATTGTATGCCCCAATTTCAAGGTGTCACTATGTCTCAGTTCCAGATTCCATTTGGACTGGTCTCTTGCATAACTTAATTTGCTTTCATTTGCATTGGTGGTGTCAATAAAAATGCACCCAACATTTAATACTATATTGGTCAGATTGATAAATAAATAGCTATTCTATGTGAATATTTCAGATTTCCATAATACAAGGGCTTTAGCTGCTTATAATGATGTAATGTTGTCTAATATTTATTTATTAATTATGATTTGGCAGGACTTATTTACCCAGGATGGGGTGCTTCTCAAAGCTTGCATCGGGCGCCCTGTCACAGACCTCAACTCTATTGGAATGTTGTGCATAGTTCAGAATGTAGACAACACAAAGTGTATAGAGTGGCGTCCCAATGATTTGATCACAATCGATTCTGACACTCAGGACCAAGAATGGGCTGTGGTCAACACTATTGGTACGGATACTGTTTTTTTTTTTTATTGGAGAAATCTATTATGCCTAATTTACAGTAGTAAGCAGTTTATACTGAACAAACCAGTGTTTTATTGGTCACACGTAACAACAAAACATTCTTAATTTTTAAAGCAATTTGATTCTAATTTTATGCTTATGTTTGCTAAATAAAAATCATTTTATGAAAATTAAACATATCTTCAGACAATAGATGTTTGCAAACAATAGATTGCAAAAATCTGAGAAATATATTTAATTGCCCTGACAGAAAAAAAACGCAAAAATTACTCTAAATAGGTTTTTGAATCGATTTTACAACTATTATATTTCATATCTATATAAGAAATAGGTTACGATATTATCTTACTAAAATGATCAAATGATTTTTTCTTATATTTGTTAATAGCATTTGTTTTTTTCTGTGATTACAAATATATGAAATTTCTCGATGCGTATCTGTTTGCGTATTTGAAAACGTGAGTGGAGTACAAGGGTGCCTCAAGTCTATATTACAATTAATTATGTTTCTTAATTAATGTAAAAAAAAAAAGAAAAACATACTCGAGATTAAAAAGTTGTAAGCGGCTGTGCGAAAACTTTCACGCAGTTAATACCCTGTTACGTATATCATGTTAAAAGTCTCAAAACTCAGTGATTTTGTTTAATAGGCCGCCGACAGCGTACATTGAGTGGCAACATAACTTCTGATTACGCAACTGCTCGCGCTCGCATCATAAGGATACCGCTCGAAGATCTCAAGACATTCCGTGTGACGAGGAACAATCAACAGATGCAGTTCTCAACTAAACCAGGAGTTTGGCAGAGCACTTTTTATTTCCAGCATGGCAACGCTGAGATATTTGTAGCTTACCTAAAGAACCACGTTAAAACGGCTAAGACAAGACACGACAGGAACACTTATGTTGTGGTAGAACCGAATGTTGAGAGTCAAGTACTAAACAAATCCTTTGCCGAACTGGATATATTCACTGAGAACACTACAGATGTTGTTTGGAATCTCGTCTCTAATTTCAAACAGAGACCTTATGAGACAACAATGGAAGCGTTTTCGAAACTAACGGACATAGGTAATATAGATTTGTAATGTCTAGACTAAATATTTTTCTTTCTAATTCAGAGCAGTGTATAATACATAAAACTGTGATGGTAAAATTTCGTATTATCGTTGTTTTTATGTTAAATAGTTTAATTATAAAATCTAGTTGACCGTTTACTAAAATGTATGATCCACAATTTTGTTTCGGACTTAATATTACATTTTATATAAATATATATACTTATATATAAATTCCATATGTATATATATTAATCGAATAACGAAAAGTTTTCTTATTTCTGATATTATAATTAAAAACTGACGTCATAGTCTAATAATTTCGTTTTCTAATTGTTTGAAATAAGAAGGAGAAAAAGGTTGCCCAGTTCTTCTCACTGAAAGTTCTTCAGTTGTAGCTTTTGAATTTAACAAACACTTGTAACAGCCTAAACAAACGCTGACTATACAATACTGAATTTGAATTATAAATGATATATGAGATCCGCCATTTTGTGGCGACGGCCATCTTAGATTTACAATTATACTGAAGTCACTCATTTTGCATTCCCATCAGAACTCATGTCAATCGATCATTCACCAAGTTAAGTCACTTAAGAAGAACTGTTTTGTTATAGTATATTACGGCAATGAGGCTACGAACGGTAAGAGAGATGTCTCCGAGGAAGTTGCTGATCTGCTGACCAAGAGTATGAGTGCGTTGGAGGACGCGACCTCAGTGACTAGGAACGACGAGTACGAGGTGATCAGCGTCAAGCCCACGTTACCTCCCCGACCCAGCATACCCAGGTAACAGGACGTACCTGTATTTAGGAGAATTATCAAAATTACAGCCAACACAGTAATAATAATGTGCAGTATTCAATTTTATAGTTAAATGTGTACATATCTATACTAATATTATAAAGCTGAAGAGTTTGTTTGTTTGTTTGAACGCGCTAATCTCAGGAACTACTGGTTCAAACTGAAAAATTATTTTTGTATTGAAAAGACTATTTATCGAGAAAGGCTTTAGGCTATATAACATAACGCTGCAACTATTAGGAGCGAAGAAATAATGGAAAACGCGGACGAAATCGCTGGCGGCCACTAGTTAACTTATATAGTGTAAGTTAACTTATAAAGCACAACTTAATAATTAAAAATATTAAGTTGCACTGTCGGCATAGGCAGAAGGGCGGCAGCAAATGCTGTCGTCTGAATCTGCAGCTAGTATTGCATTTACTGTGCAGCATAGAAATGCTTAAATTGCGATTTTTTTTCGCATAAGGTGCTTTACTAACGAATGTGGGGAAATTTCGAAAATGACATAAAACAAGCAATTGGTTTGTCCTATCCAGTTTAAAGTATTTTCATCTGTTAAAAGATTTTTTAATTGCCAACTTTATTAATAGTTGATAAAAAAACTAATGCTTGATTTAGTAGTAGTAATTCGTGATTTTCGGAATTTCCTTGTTTTCGGGATTACCTCAAAGCACTATACAGTAATGAATAACCAAATCTTGCAAGTTTGATTGCAAGAAGAAGACCCGGATAATTAAAACTGGGCGCGATTTTTTTACATATATTGATTCTCTTTAATACTTGCACCTTGACATCGGTATTTAGATATTAAATTGATAATTTTTTTGCTTTTTTTCTCATCTGTCAACACTTAACGGTAGTATAGCGCGTAACTTCCTATAAATGAATACTACAAAGTAATCCCGTCTAATCTAATAGCTTTTGCCTTCAGCCGCGACCCGTAGGGTTGTGTCCTATAAGTGAAAATACAGGTTTCTGTTATATGTTCGGAAAATATGCACTATTTTAACTTATAAATTTTAACCAAAAAAAATTATGACACTAATTTCTGAAATTTGTTACGCTTTGCTAAAAATACATATGGCATTTAATTAGTTACATAGAACATAGCAACTTTCGTTAAAATAATTATAAACATAAACGCAGAAATAACAAAGATATTACAAAAATTGCCCAGACCCATACGTTTTTCGCTACCATAGCACCCTGTATGACGTCACTTAGTGACTCGATTTTGTAGGGAACGTTTTCGGCCATCTAGCAGCAGTTCTACAAACATAGCATCGTATCTGCGTAACTATTAATCGCACACATGGTGTTATTACTACATTATTTCTACTATTAGTTTTTAAAATAAAAAAGTTTTCGACTAGTCTAACACCTTCATTGTCTCTAGATCTGGGACTTTAAAAAGGCGTTAGCTATTTAGATTAAAATGGGGGCTGTATGTATTGAAGTGATCTTAATAAATATTTATTGATTTATTACGGTCAGCTTAATTATTTTAGGGGAACTCCTTTGTCAGCCGAAAAGTGGGAAGGTCTCCAGGACACCGAAGGCCGCGTCACAGAAGTTGAGGGTGTGAAGCAGCTGATATTTAGAGGGGTGGGTACGAATTCTATAAAGTACATATATTATTATAAGTATTAGCTTATTAGTGTCCTCACCTAGTCCTAGAATTGTCCTAGAACTAGAACCTGCCCTAGAATTGTCATCACTGTTAATAAGAAAGCTAAAGAAAAGTCTCGGGTTCCAGTCCCGGTCGGGTCAACATAGAAAATAAACTTTTCTATATTGCCTCGGGTCTGGGTGTTGTGGTACCTTCGTTGTCTCAGATACTCCATATTACGGGGGCTTAAGCTACTTGTGTTTAATATTTACTGTCTAATATTTATTTATTTAAGAAATTATATCTGCTCATGCAGCAAATCTCTATTAAAATAACCTTACACACACCCATAGCTCCACACCAAGATTAAAAGTAAATCTTAATTTTTAATATACTCGCTCCCGGTTTCTGAATTGAGAATTTGAAGCTAAGCAAATCTCAAACCATGCTTAAACTATCTTAAACAGGTTTTCATTTCTGATTCAGAAATCACTGATCAGTTGATAGCAGTTTGATAAAATTAGGACCTTTTGCTATGTAAAATGTAAAAGTTATTGAGAATAATCAGTTGATATTTTGTACTTTTTTCAATTCAATAACCGGACGTAAGGTTGACATTAAGGGGGCATCCATAAATTACGTGAGGTGTTTTTTAAATTTTCTGTCCCTCCCTCCCCTCCTGGTGAGATGTCGTAAGATTTTATTCAACCCCCCTCCCCCATCCACCGATCTCACGTGAGATTTTTCAAAATTGATGAGTACTTGCGAGTATTTACCTTGTTTTAGTATAGAGTACTCAGAGATCGAGTATCGCTTTTGAAAGTATCGATACCTACTAGGTATCGAAAGTATCGTTCGAACCTACAAATATGGTGGTTTGACATTCAGTAGATGTATAAGCGTCGAAGTATGAATGAAATTATTTTCTTTTGAACGAATTAGTGAATGATTTTAATCGTATACGATTACGCTTAAGATTTAATCTTAAGCATGTACAATCTGGATTAAATGGACCAAAATAGTATATATATATTTTTTTTTGTTTCAATCAGAAAAAAATTGCGTGATATTTGCCGAGACCCCCCCTCTCTCCAACGTAAGATTAGATGAGATTTGCCTCGACCCCTTCCCCCCCTTAAACATCTCACGTAATTTATGGACGCCCCCTAAGGTATCCTTCAATCCACATTGGTCCAACGTGGAGGGCTCATGGCCCATCCTCTTTAACCATCCATAAGGAAGGCCTGAGCCCCTGCAGTGGGGACGTAAAAGGGCTGATGGTGATGACATTAATGCGTACTAGTGATTGGACAATTCGACGTTTTGTTGACTGTATGATGGTGTGTAATATTTAGTGATAAGTCAACTATTTTAAATTTATTTGTATAGTTAATTCAATAAAATCTTTTCACCAGGGTGTTGCACACTCTATAAGACAGACCGTGTGGAAGTACCTTCTGGACTATTACCCGTGGCACATGACTCACGCGCAGTTACGCGTTCTACATAAGAAAAAGACTGAAGAATACTTCTCGATGAAGTTGCAGTGGAGATCGATGACCGAAGGCCAAGAGTCCAGGTTCACAGAATACAGGGACAGGAAGAGTTTGGTCGAGAAGGACGTGAATAGAACGGACAGGACGCATCCGTTCTTCGCCGGGGACGATAATCCTAATTTAGTGGTGCTAAGTGATATTTTGATGACATACGTGATGTATAACTTTGACTTGGGTTATGTGCAAGGCATGAGTGATATATTGGCCCCACTGTTGTTACTGCTGGGCAACGAGGTGGACAGCTTCTGGTGCTTTGTAGGGTTCATGGAGAAGATAGTGAGTATCTTGAACATATACCTCGCGTAAAAGAACAATAGCAATGAATGAATATACATTATTGACCAGTAAAACATCAGGCCCGGATCTAGGGGCCTTTACCCCTGGCACCAGTATTAGAGGGGGCGCCAAAATCGTCATTGTAAATTATAGGCTATTATGAGACGGACATTCTTGAGAATCTGAAATTGAAATAAAGAATAACCCGTGCACTGCAAAAATATAGGAATCCATTCGTTTAAAAACCGTCCTCATGGAGCGTAAGGGAGGGGGGTAGAGGAAGGGCGCCATACGAAGTTTATGCTTCAGTTTAACAAAAAAATGGCTCAGTTAATACATATTAATGTTAAGGAGTGGCGGCTCACTACGTCACAGTTTTGTCATGTGACAATTCAACTCAATATGTCAAAAAATTACATATTTAATATATATTATCTGACTGATGGACAAAATAGAATTTCCTTTTTTTTACCCAGGCAACATCCCTATAGTATAATGTGGGATTAAGCACAATCGCAGTTAAACTTGTTTTAGTTTAATATTAATTCGTTCGAGTATCTTCATTATAAAAGCTATTTATTATATTTAAAAGATTTCGATACTTTAATAAAGAGCACTGAATCCTTTTGTTATATATTGCATCCATAAGTAAAGTTTCTAGCCACGAATAAAGAAATGGCGTAACAATTTTTCAGCGGTAAATATACGAGTAGATGTACTTATGTGCCTGTTACCGACTTTGAAGCACATTCAAGTTATTGTGGTTAAAAATAAACAATCATACGTTATCTCACGTTAAACTTATCTCTTTCCACCGCGTTATCAGGCCTCAACGTGATAGTTTTTTGAAATTACACATGTCTTATAAATTGATATTGAAATATAGGTATTTTAAAATAATAATGTCGGCATTGTAGTTTGATATTCTTAATACATTTTATATGTCCATTATTCAATTGGTTTATTTCTTAAGATTAGCCGTTTTATCGCAATATCGCCCGATATTATGGCCTATGTGTGATTTTTGCAAATCGGTTTTGCAAATAGATTCAGCACGCGTAGCATGACGAACGCGAGAACGTTTTGTCTACACTCAAATGTAACCTTTCTCGGGTGCGCCCATACTATATCTCACTCTCGACCCGAGAAACTGACAAAGGAGTGTAGACAAAGCGTTTCTCGAGTTTGTCATGTTACGCGTGCATAGCCTATTCGATGCAAACAAATGAACAATCAAATCTTTATTTTTATAATATTACAGATTATGAGACTACTTTCCCAAATCAGAGAAAAATTAAGTGTTGATGCATTTAATTATTAAAATGTGTTTATTTAACAAAAATTGTTGGTATACGTGAATCATTGAAGATAATAGTTGATCGGACAACTTTCTGAAAACTGTTTTAAATAAGTCATTATAGTGTCTTTTTGACCACACGAAAAATATTATTTTATGTCAATAAATATAATATATGTCACAAAACTATGTTTAAAATTTAACTGTTTGAGAAAACCATGACTTTATTTGTGCGGTAAACAAAAGGATTTTCAATTGATAATACTTATTAAACTCACGAAAAAAAACAACAGCAAACTGACCCTTGTTACCTGTTAGAAATCAAATAAATCATTAAGATTATTTTGCACTGGATGTTTCCCGCGCTTTTTCTAGATAAGTTACAACTTTTTAACCACATACAATATAATTTTTGCTGTTTAATCCTCTTTTTTTTTTGTAATGACCACTTATTTTATTTTTGATATGAAGCCCTCCTCTCTCTAAAGTGTTGCTGTGCCTTTTGATTCTGATATTATTATTTTGTAACAACTATATAACACTATAGTTTGCTAATATTTTGTAACATCTATATAACACTATAGTTTGCAATAAACATTGGAGTATTGAGTACTTTATCGGCTCCAGTATTATCTGCCATTCGTTACAAGGTCAATCGAATTGCCTTAATAAAATACTTTGATACACGGTAGGCGTCAAACTTCGACATGGACCAAGCGGGCATGAAGCACCAGCTGCTCCAGCTGCAGCAGCTGTTGACGTTCGCGAGCCCCGAGCTGGCGCGCCACCTGGCCGCGAAGGACTCGGGCAACATGTACTTCTGCTTCAGGTGGCTGCTGGTCTGGTTCAAGAGGGAGTTCTCACACAGGGACATTATGAGGTGGGCATTCAAACAGACCAATAGGGTATTTGATTCATTTTGAAAAAAAAATAGCTTAAATTATCCTTTTTTACATAATGAGCGAAGCTTTCGGAAGGGTCGGTCGCGGGATGGGTGACCAAATAATTATTATCTCGAGCTGCTTCGTGCTTCGGAAGGCACGTTAAGCCGTTGGTCCCGGCTGCATTTGCAGTCGTTAATTCACTTCAATCCGCATTGAGCCAGTGTGGAGGGTCATAGCCCATCGTCCTTAATCATCCATAAGGAAGGCCGGAGCTCCTGTAGTGGGGACGTAAAAGGGCTGATAATGATGACATAATGAGTAAAATTGTATTCATCAATAAAAATAAAAGTTGAAGTTTGAATTTTAAGAAAACGCGCGAAAAACGCTGTGTCTGTCATGCGCCGCCATTACGCCGTGTATGACGTCACACGCTAGTAAATAAACAAATCTCATCATACTGAAATCGTCAATAGGAAACCATATTCACTAACGTGTGACGTCATCCGAGTTGCAACGACGTACGAGATTTCAGATCAAATGTAAAAAAAATATTTAATTTTGTTTTGTGCGATCTGCAAAAATTATACATTATTTGTTTACAATAACGTTATATATGTGTTATTATGATATTATCATAAAGCATGACAACAATTTTTAATATATTTTTAACGTTGTCAAATACCCTATTCTGCTAATTTCTATGTAACAATATAATCTCAACGATTTGCATTTTACCATTGTATTATCTACCTAAAGTATAATATTATTAGTGCAATGTAACTCTTTTAACCTATTTACTTGTTTATGAAATGGATTGATGTCAAAGTCAAAGTCAAAATAATCTTTATTCAAATAGACTTCTCAAAAGTACTTTTGAATCGTCCAACATTTTTTCCCTACCACTCGTTCAGGACGTCTTTTGGCTGATAAGAAGAACGAGCAAGAAACTCACCAGCTCTAATAGGAGTAACGACATTTATAAAAATCATGTCATTACCAGATCAATACATTATAAACAGAGAGAAAAAAAAACTATGGTCTTATAATGATAACATAATCATTTAATAATAATGGAAACAAGATAATGAGTTTAGAAATAATCACCTATCCATTTGCTGGATCATCTCAAGTCTACGCGTTCTTATCTGTTATACAATCGGATACCTTATAATAAGCTTTTTTAATATGTATTTTTTTAATAGTAGATTTAAACTGCATGATATCTAATTGTTGTATTTTGCTTGGGAACTTATTGTAGAAGCGCACACAAAGACCCCTGAATGAGTTATTAACTTTTTGCAGTCTAGTGACAGGCACCGTTAATTTATTTTTATTTCTTGTATTAAAATTGTGTACATCACTTTTTATAGAAAACAAACTAATATTTTTACGAACGTACATTAAGTTCTCGTATATGTATTGAGAAGCAACAGTCATTATGTCTGTTTCCTTAAATTAAATAAAGATGCGATGATCACTTTCTTGCAGGCTATGGGAAGTACTATGGACTGGGTTGCCCTGTAACAATTTCCATTTACTGATCTGTGTTGCCATACTCGACGCAGAAAAAGACAGTCTTATAAGTAGAGACTGTGGTTTTACCGAAATATTAAAGGTGAGTGTTGGTAACTATTGTATATTTGTTATTTTTTAATATATTACAGTTTTTTTATTTGTAATGCCAACGGAACATCGCAATTATGGAGTTTCTTAAATATGTTGACAACCTTTTAAGTTATTGATCTTTTAAAATTTTTTATTTTTCAAAATATGTTTAAGTTTTGATTTTTTTTTCATTATATTTGTAATCTGACTAAATATTGTATTTACAAAAGACTATTTATCAATTATCTCATGTGGTTTTTATGGGAGCTTGTTGGGAATATACTCTTTGTAACAAATTTCGTTTATCATTGACTAAAGTACCATGGTACATTCAAAAATCACATTCAGTCGAATCGTTGACCTATTTTGTAGCCTAAAAGAATCGATGTTTTTCAGGGTTCCGTACCCGTAGGGTAAAACGGAATCCTACATCTTATGAATCGTGATGGATAAACACAAGTTTACAAGCAAATACTAATGGGCGTCCCATACAACGAACGTGTTTTTTTTGCTTGTTTCCGCTACGGAACCAATTAGTCCGGATTTTTTTACTATAGACTTTTGATCGGTCGATTTGTCTATCTTACTTTTAGCACGTGAACGACCTATCCATGTGCCTAGACGTGGACAGGATATTGAGTTCCGCGGAAGGTATATACCACCAGATACTGTCGGCGCCACATCTCACCGACCAGATCAGGGTGATACTCGGCTTGCCCACCGTTGGCACCTCCACTAGCTCAGAGGAAGTGGCTTCAACCTCTCAAGCTGACAACGGTACGGTGGAAGATAGCGATCACTCTCTTTATGGGAAAGACATGGAGGAAGTTATGTATCAGATAGGGTTGGACATGAATTTCTGAGGCATAGTGATATGTATTGATACTCTGTTGTTTGCATGCTTATTAGTTTTGGTTGGGTCAAATCAAGCGGGAAAATACTCGATTATTTTTTTTGTTAACTTGAGAAATAAATTGGAAATATATTGTACGATTCGTTATATATATTTGATATATAATCTAATTGCATTCTATTGATTTGCGATAACGAATATCAATCAGACTGCGTGACGTCATATATTCACTAACATTATGATGCAGTTATGATATTTCGAAAAAACCTCAAAATTATTTTATATTTATTTGGACCTATCAGTGTCACTGTTTGGCTACAAATGATGTCACAGCAGTCACGTGACATTGTATTTGGGGGAGAGAGGAATTGAAATTTAAAATATACAAATTTTAAAATGTTTTGGTCGAATTAAAAATAAATTTTAGCTGTATAACAATCACACATAATTAGTTTACAATGGGGGGGACGGATCGGGACATACAAAAGAGTAACTCGAATCGTTAGCTACGTTGCATTTCATCTTATCTAATTAAATAATGATAGTTAAATATTTTTTTGAATATATTCGAGCATTTTGCCGCTTAATCTGATTGAAAGTTTGCTTATAGTAGGATTTGGCGGTGCCTTTAACTTTCAAAAAGTCCTTGAAAGTTTAAAATAATATATTAACAGCTCGTTCCTTATGGTTTGCTGTATATATTTAAATATTCCAATTACTGGTGATGATTGACCGAACATTAAAGTACTGATACCTTTAGAAGGGAATTGGGTAGATATGAATATTGTAGTAAATTACTTTACGAATGATGAAAATAATAAGAATTTAAATATGTAAAGCTTTTTTAAGTGATATAATTATAAATGTTTAATTGAAGTTATAAATGGTTTGCGAATTTATTTTAATTTAGTAATTAAGGGCAGTGCTTGAAACCGGTTCAGAATGAACTGTTTTTATTAAGGTGAAACCTGTTATCTTATAATGTTCTGTTCCTGATCGGAAGTAAATGCGGAGTGAAATTCGGATGGAATAAAAACCGGTTAATTCGCTTGATTCGTAAAAAGCAATGTTTTTACGCTTTTAATGCGAATTATATCATTTTTAAGCGACGACATATCTGTGTACGGTTTTATAGATAGGAGTATAGGCACTTAAAAACTGCGCTGAAGTTTGTGAGATCATTGTCTGGAGTCATATTTAAACCGGTTAATGAAGAAAACCGTATTTCTAGTGAACCAGTTTAAAAACCTGTTCAAAGTAGCTGAACCTTTTATGTAAAGTTCCGCATGTACTTACGTCAAACCGGTTCAAAAAATAAACCAGTTTCCAAGCCCTGATTAAGGGTAAAGTCTTGTTCACACTGTGTACAACTCTTTAATATCACACAAGCGACAGCAATTTTCTCCCTAGCTCTGATTAAATCGTAGATATACTATTAAATGTGGCAGTAATTATGTTTTAAGTACAAGTAAAAGATATTACAAATAGTTCTTACATAGAAATGTAGTTTTTTTAATACCTGTGCGACTTATAATATTAAACTTTAAACAATTGATAATGTATGATTATTCAGTAATAAATAAAAAAAATAGATATAAAATACTTTTAAATATCTATTAATATTTACGTAATATGTAGGGTAGGTCCTATATTTTCATTCTGTTTATTAATATCTAATATATAGACTAATTCATATCTACCCTATTTTCTTTTGCGACATGTGCTAATACTTTAATAAAACATAAACGAGTGTTGCCATGTGTTCCTATTGCATATAGTCATTATAATATTGCTTGAGGTATGATTACTTTTATCGGTACAGTCGACTTTATCAGATAATCCAAAACTGTCGATTTAAAACCATAACACATAAAGAATTCCATATAAAAATAAATTATGGCATTTTGATAGTTTGCAACAACTCGCTGTACGTATCCATTGCACAATTAATACTGTATGGTTTGTGATTTAAAACGTCCATTGATTGCTGAAGATATGTGAGTGCCCTGATATTGTTAATATTTAAATCACACGGATACTATTAAAATATAAAGTAGTTATAATAAGAATTAACTTCGTAATGTTTTAAATATATATGCCTTAATTTTCATATTCATTTCATAGTAGAAATGATTGAGTAAGGCTTTTGTTGAGTTTACACAAATATATTTAATAATTAAATAATATATACATATGTTTTTTATGTTTTTATTAGTAAGTACACCTTGTTTCATAAATAGTATGTAGTTGTGATAGAAGCATGTCAGAATAATAATTTACACAAGTTATTATAGTTGGCGAATTTTAAGTATATTGGCAGCTTGTAACCATTTGAAACAATATGTGACAACTATTTGCCAAACATGGCTTCGATGGTATAAGTTTTTTTTAATTTTTTGCTTGATTCTTGTAATATTATTTTGACAAAGTGACTTTTAACTTTTTTTGTTTAGATGAAAAATAGTGATTCAGTTCGAATAAAAAATCACGTCATTATAGTCAGTTGTTCGAGTGTACTTGAATATTGCAATACTAATAACCTATAAAATTTATTGAAATAAACGCAAATCTATTCTATACAACAGTATTTCATTAATTCGTATATTTAAAATCAAGAGTTTACGTCATACACTGATCAAACAGTTTAAAATTTTAGAGTTTGATAATTTGTTTGATTTCTCACTATAAAACAATTGTATTAGTTTAGCAAAATAAAAAAATAACATAATTCCTTTGCAAAGTAGTTGACAATAATTATTTATCTGTAATCTGAGTATAATTTAATATATAACTAGGTCGATATCCTCCTAACATTTGTAAATAACACGAAAATTTGCGTGGGTGACGATTGAAATAGTATATGGGTTTTGCTTTTCCATCGCACTTTTTTTTATGTTATATGAATATGTTGTTGATTTGATTAGATAATTATTAGTAGATTCGCTTCCATATTTTCTCATTAAAAAGTTGTTACAATCACATATGTAATTTATAAAATTTACTTTTTTTTCTATTTCAGGGTACACTCAAATATGACGGGATTGAAATATATATTGTATCGAAAACTGTGTGGGCCTTGCTCTCTTGAGGTCTGTACTTTTAAATATATAATGATAATAGACTGGAATAGAGTGATATTTTTATACTTTTTTTATATAGAAATTGTGAAAATCTTGTTTGTCTGTTATTTGAGGTGAAATGTAATCAAATCAAAACTCATGATTAGGCTGGGGCTGAGAAAATAAATGTTTTTAAATTATCAAACCTAAAAGTTGAAAAAAGACGTATCGTCAATAAAAGTGCAATGTGGTCTTAGCCTTACTTTATCAGTTTCAAAAGATAATTTAAATAAAAATGCTCACCCACCGATTATATTCTTCTTGCCATAATTTATCAGTAAGAGCTAACAATACTGAAATTACACACTGCACTGCAAATAGGAGACAAATAATTATTATATTTCATTGGTATGTTATTATTTGTAACCAATCTAAATTATATTGCATAGAACGTCAGGTTATACAGATATGTCAATTTTAACTTCACTTGATTTTAAACCTTAAAGTATTGAAAATAGAGTTCAAAATTAATTTAAAAATTTGTCATTTTGAAGTGATCTGATGTACTGCCGTGTGCTACTTTATCAGCGATGTTTCTTTATTTCGGGAATTAAATACGATTTTATGTTTAGAATATAACTTAGGTTTAACTTATAAATTTGAATTGATACATAATAATTTGGGATGTATTGATATCGATGAATGTGATGAAAATATTGATGCCTTGTGATTTACGACAAAAATATTTTAGTGATATATTATGATAAAGCTATTGTTTATTTGCAAACTTTTATTTTAAATACATTGTAAGTTTGATTGACTTATTAAAATTATTTTTATGTGTGTGTAGATACTCAGTGGGTACTCTGCCGTATTATTATTGGTAAGGTTATAAAAAAAAAAACAGTTATCTATCTGGACATTGTTTCTCAGCATGTTTGGATTCATAAAATAAATACATAAAATTACAATATAATAATAACCTATTTATGATCTATATTAATTTGAGCATTTATATATATTTTATTACAACAGCTGACATGGTTATCGCTTATCACCCTGATTTTATTGACATTATTATAGTTCATATACAGGTCATATTCATACAATTTGTTGATGTTACTATAATTTTCAATGAGCACTGGTTGAGAAACAGTACCATTTGGAATAATCATTGAAGTTTGATAAACTATTAATTTCAAAGAGCCATAAGAATTTCAATTTTCAAATTTCAGTTTAACGTTTTTATTTAATTGCAATGCACGAAAAAAAATCTATTTCCTTTATATTAATATCTTAGACACAAATACTTGTAAGGTCTGTTTTCATTTGTCAAATGATATTAAAGTTTTGTAAGTTTAATTTGTTTTTTATTATCAGTGAATTAAGAACCAAGGTATTTTATTAAATAGTATTAAGGCGTATTTTCATTGATTGATAGGACAGGTACGTGGGGTAGCAGGAAGTTATTTCTATTGATTTGGTAGAACCAGTTGATATTACTCATTAGGAATGAATAATTTGACAAAAGGCTTGTGTCCTGTAAGTGTAAATACAGGTTTTTGTTATATCTTCAAAAATATTAACAATTTTAACCTAAATTTTAAGTCACTGATTTGGAAAATATTACACTTTGAAAACTTGAAAAAGTAGAGAAAATCTACTACAAAAGTTGCTAAAATACATAAGGCATTAAATTAGATATAAAAAGTGTTACAACTTTCATTATAACAGCTATAAACATAAACGCACAAAGATATTACAAAAAAATGTCCAGACGCCTATATATTTTTCGCTACTGTAGCACAATGTGACGTCACTGAGTGCCTTGAATTTGTAGGGAGCGTTTTCGGCAACTAGCAGCAGTTCTACAAACAGCACCGTATTTCCGAAACTTATTCGCAGACATGCTGTTATTGTGACATTATTTCTCAATATTAATGGACTATTTATTTATGAAATAAAAAAGTTATCAACTAGCCTAATATACTAATACATTTGCAGTACATATAGAACTTGAAATTGCTGCTTAATTCGCCACTTCTGGGTTCAAATAAAATGCTATGATATTCTTTTGGATCCAGGCTTTTTCTATATTACCAATATTCTGAGAGTAGGTATGTAAAAGTGGTTTTTAAAACAAACTACTTTTTTTAATGTTTTATTCAAATAATAATAATTAATTTGAAGTACATTAGAGCACTGATATCATAATACACAAAATTATATTATTATTGTTATAAATAAATTTTAAAATAATAATTTTATTTCCATAATACTTAATTCATATTGCTTTCCTTATCATACCAGGCATAACTTATATAATGAGATCATGGTGATTTTTTGTACTTTTTGATTAATATAGTAGATGCATTTCACATCACCAAGAGCAGGCACATATAAAGAACCATCATAAGTGAATTGCATAATGGAAATTCAGTACCCTCGGTAACAGACATGAAAAGGAAGATTGATACCAATAATGGACCTTGGCAATGGATGTTTATAAATTTGTAACATTAATTTGTGTTTGTGAGTGTGATTTCAGATGGACATTTAAACCATACCGAGTTTGGTATGATTTATCACACAAATGACAATGGAAGTTTTTAACACCAGTATGGGTCAAAGAATGTCTTTGCAGTTCAGATTTTGAGAAGAATCTTTTGCCACAATTATCACAGCCATACTTTTTCTCTTTCAAATGGTTCTTTCGAATATGTGAACTCCTTGAGCTAGATGAAATAAATGTGGCATTGCAAACTTCACATTTATGATTTCTAGTTCTTTTGTGGTTCCACAATATATGGGAATGGAGTCCACCTGGGACTTTAAATTTCTTTGGACAGAATTTACAACTATATGGATGTTTATTGCTGTGGGTCAACATGTGGATTCTGATATAGCCTGGTGGGTAAGATTTGCCACACTGATCACATTGTCTTAGCACTCTTTCAGTCTTGTTTTTATCTTTTCTATTAATATTTGGCTCACAAGAATGGGAGTTCAAATCATTTAAGTTATAAAATCCTTCCCAGCAATTTTCACACAAGTATGGCCTCATGTGTAGCTTTCTATGTAGGACGAGGGTGCGAAAGTCTTCAAATTTCTCATCACAATATTCACAATCTCTTCCGATGGTACATTTTATAGGGTGATTGTTAATACAATGTTCACCAAGTGCTCTTACTGAAGGAAAATCTGCTTTACATTCCACACAAAATATTGTTTGCAATTCGTTTTCTGTAACGTTAGCTTGTGACTTTCCGATTGGTTCTCTACATTTTCTCTTCTTTGTTTTGTAACTTTTCATTTGTGGTTCATCTCTGTGATCAGATTCATAGAATGATTCACAATAACTGTTAACATTGGTGTCTAAGTTTTTTACATTCTCGGATAATTTTCTAGCACTAGTTTCTATGAGAACTTTGAAGGAATATGTTATTGTTAGTTGATGAACACAATTTATGCAAATGTTTCGTGGATAAAAGTCATCTGGTGGAACCTGCAAATTAGGTTTAAAAGTTTAATTACAAAGAATAGAAAAGAAAAACAAAAGCGTACAAAATATAATAGTGATAATAGTTATTATTTGGTCTGAGGATACCTTATAATCATAAAAGTTTTCTAAAATATCTGATAGACAAATATTTTCGCCGGCAATCGCAACACAACTATGTATATCGCGCATGTCCTCATCATTGCCTAAACAAGTTCTACATTTATTTGCGAGGTTCATTATTGTTGAAACGGGTATTCTAAAAATAAATATTTAATTTCTAGTTAACTATTTTATGTATCGATTAAACAGAACTGGCACAGACCAAACAGGAAAGAACTGCATGACTGCAAAGTGTTACCAAACCCAAAATCACAGACTAGTGATATGCAATATGTAGCAAGAACAAATCAAATAGTACAAGCAGTGTTACCAACCTCAAAAAACTAGAAACCGGGAGATCACCGATAAAAAAACAGTGGAGAGAGTAGGTTAAGTAAAAGAGGCAAAGATACTGTACTCAAATAATAAAAAAAAAACAATCACATACTTTTTTTAGTTATCAGAACTTATATATATTTATTATATTATAATATTGATAGCAAAATAAAAAATAAGAGAAAACTAAACGTAATTAAAAATTAAATTATTTTCTACTTTCATCCTCAATCCTTCGTCTTTTCTGACTTATTTACCTTTTTAAAAGCATACTTTTGTTGAATATCTTCATGTACCTTTCGCTAGCTTCAAAGTAATAGCAATTAGATTAATTCGAAATTTGCATCGTTTGTATGTGCATAGTGGTGCAACTTAAAAAAAAAGTAAAAATTTGGAATTAAACAGAAAACAGGGACAGCAAATTGAAAACAGCAAATGTACTGTTAAAACAGTGGGGTTGGTAATACTGAGTACAAGTAAGGGTCATAATAGCGTTAGGCGTTTTAATTTTATTAACATACTTCGTGCTTAGCGCTTAACGCTCCTATGTAAACGTTAAGACGCTAAAATAGCTTGTACACGTGGAACAACCGTTTCATAAGGCAGTTTCTAAAATAAAATAGTTTTTCATATTATGACTCATATCACACTACCGACTAACCTTTGAAATAGAAATAGTATAAAAAATTATTGCGAGTTCTTATTTCATTAAAATTCTTGTATATTTGTTATAATATTCGCCTTGGTTATGACATTTTCTTAAGTAATTAAATTTCTCCTATCAATATATGAGTGTAAGTGATGAATGTAAGTATTTAAAAGAAAATTTCTTGAAATTGTACTACATGTCATTCACTACGTACTTTAAAAAAGGTTCCTAATTCCTTGCATCGATTGAAGACATGCAAGCTTTTGAAGATGAATAGAGACTCTAACCAATAAAGTTTTCCCGGAAGATCACTTTATTAACATACAAACAATGGAGCAAGTTATGTAATAGAGTTCTCATAACCACTATTTTGTAATTTAGTTCTATTTAATTTATTTAAAACAAAATAACAAAACTGGACGATATTCTTATGATATTGCATCATTCGAATGAAATTAAATATAAATTAAAATGATAACTTATAACAATTTCAGTTTAATTATGGTAATTTTACCTCTTGTTTACGACAAACGAATATGCAACTGTTATTTTCAAAATTAAGCTGTTATTTTCACCTCTACCCTTAGATGTCAATGGAGCAAACTTATATTACTCTTTGGACCAAACCAAACAAAGATTGGTAAATGGCAGATTTGTCAAAATGTATTTTCCGCCACCTGAACAAGACGAATCCGCACAAAGTCATAAGAAGGTAACACAGAAAAAAGCAAATCGTAAACGAAAGAAAAAGTACGCTCGAAAGAACGCTCAGGTTGGTTTTAAAAATAAGAAAAAACAGTGTAAATTAGCAAACAGCATGTCTGCTTGGGCTGAAAATTTCACAGTCGCTGCTACATGGCAAATAAAACACCAACTAGCGTATTGGAAAGCGCGAGCGAAAGCTTTAGAATATGAAAACGGTGTGTTACACGAGATAATACGGAAAAAGAACTATGTTAATTCGAGTACAGCCACAAGTTCAAAACAAGAATCTGAATCTGACTATGAAGAAGAATCTGAGGAAAATGAAGATGAGGATGAGAATGAGGACCTTGAAGTTAGCGAAGAGTTTATACAGTTTCTCCAGGCTAATGCTAAATATAAAGAGGATGCCAGGAGGGAGAGAGAAAGATTAAAAGCTGAAGCCTTAGCTAAAGAGAATAGTTTTGAAAGACTAGAAGCTGTGCCTCCTGAGAACTCAGAAAATAATGAAGAAAAACTTAAAGAATTATATGGTGATAGATGGGAGCGAATAGCAGCTTTAGAAATGTCATTACAGTCACAATTTATCAATGAATGTGATAAAGAGAAACCTATGTATTGGCCGAATATACCATTTAATTTTAATTTTGGTTGATTTTGCCAGTGTTTCTTAGATGCTATTAAAATATGTTTGATCCTGTTTACTTTTTAACAATATCAACAATATGTGCTATTAATATAAAACTTTTTAAATAGTTTGAAGTTGATGAGAAGCATAATCCATTTTGAAAGACTGTTGATTGCATTGTTTAATCACAACATTAAAAATGCTATCAACAGGATTCTATGTAATTTTTAAATAAGTTATAATTCCATTAAATTAAGAGTGAATGTGATCTAACAAGCAATATTCAAGGTTGTAAATATTAGATGTATACACATAAACATTTGTTAATATTTTATAATAATATATTACAGTTCTTATACTATTTTGTTTAATTTATCAAAACACTTGGATTGTTTGACAGTTTTTCTCCCAAATTCTATTATGTATTTATTACCTATCAGAATCTATTCCACTATTTTATTTTATATAATTGACATATATTATCATAAAAGTAATACTTGGTTATAATATATACCGATGAAATGAGTTTTAAGTAAAGAGTAGCATATTTGTAATTTTACCTTTATTATAGTGTGAGTTCAAATATTCTGAACTATGTGGACATTGAGATTTTGATGTTTATTGGTGTGAATAATTCGGCCACACAATCATTCTCTGAGGTCTCACATTCAATCCTGGTTGAGAATATGTAGAAAATGAATTGTTCTATAATATTGTCTTGTTCAGATTTCCATAATACAAATACTACTTACTTTAGCAGTAGTTACTTATGTAATTTGGGATCTAGGCGATGTATGTGATAGCGTGAAAAATGTTAGGTACTGTCACCTAATATGAACCCATGGACTGCTAATAGCTCAACTGAAATTGAGCCTCTTTAAAAGTTCTAAAAAAGTCCGCAACAGTCTATGTCTATCTTATATCTTATCCTGAAAAAAAGCACAAAAAAGTATGAAAATAGGGTGAAAGTTAGAATAGAGCATTAAATTGTTACTATAGTAACCATTGTTCACAATTCAATTTGTTGTTTAAATTATATCTCATGTCAACCTTTTCCAAATTCATTATTAAATGATTTCAGCTGTTTACATAGGATTATAATATTAATAATGTTTTGTGTAATGTATAAAATCTATTGTTCTTTTTTTTATTATAACCGGATTCCAAATTTAAATCGTTTTTCTAGTATTAAACATTTCAATTTTTTTTATAATTTTAAATGTGGCAACAAGTTTAGAAGATAAACCAAAGTCGCATAGCCCCAAGGGGCGTGATACCTGTCGCACTTTAAAGGATTTCTGTTTTTATAATATGGATTTGTGTCATCATAAAATTGTTTAATCACAACATAGTATAAAACAAAGTCACTTTCTATGTTCCTATATCATTATTATAATTATAATTCATTAACAATTTTTTACAATTGTATTTGAATGGTACAAAACAAAGTAAAATAAAAAAAATCATAAAAACAAAAAAAAACATGCAAACGCTCAAACATTACACAAAAATTCAATATCATCTAAAATTAGAAAAAAAAAATATATATATATACTTATGCAAAAAGACCTAGTTAGTATTTATTAATTACTCGTTGGGTAAGATGTCCCTATATCCCTATGTATGTATATTTAAATCTTTAAGACTACGCTACGGATGTTGATGCGGTTTTTTTTTCATAGATAAGGTGATTTAAAAGGAAGGTTTTTATGTATAATACAAGACCACGCGGGCGAAGCCGCTGGCGGAAAGCTAGTTTAAAATAAAATATATTGTTTTGAACAAAAAATATGTGAAAGAAATATGTTAAAACTATACAATTTTTTTTAACCCGATTTTTATTGTTTTGTAACGACAAAATACGAATAATAAATCCATTACTGCATCTCTGGCAATGAGGAAGTATTTAAAAAAACATTAGTTCCCGAAATCAATCTAGATGTCGCTACGGTACGTTCTTGATTTCTCCATGACAAATTGACAACCCTTCCGGTTTTCTTTCATATTTAAAAGTAAATTAGTTTTCAAAACTCAATACACAATTCATATTCTACGAGGGGTGTTCAAAAAGTAGTGCGAATGACGTACTAATGGAGGGTACTTGAAAAAAAAAATATGGTCACGGAAAGATTAGGTCTTTGTTATAATACCCTCAAATAATTAGGTTTCTATCTTGTCTGTGTCAGTTGTGTTAATTATTTGTTTGTGACGCGTCGTTAACTCTCGCAAAAAACGGATAAAATTGAAATCCGTGCAGTAATAAAATACTTTTGCTTGAAAAATGTTACTACGGAACAAATTTTTAAAGATTTATGTTAGACATTGGCGGAGTTTGCTCCTCGATATTCCACAGTGGCTCGGTGGTGTGCAGAGTTTAAACGTGGTAGAACATCGGTTAAAGATGACCCGCGCTTGGGCCGCCCTTTAACGTCAGTCACTCAGGAAATGATCGAGAAAGTTGAAACAATTGTTCTGGATGATCGCCGTGTAACAGTCTGTTTTATAGCTGAAGAGTTGAAGATTTCAAGTGGTAGTGTGCATAGCATTTTGCAAGATCACTTAGGAATGAAAAAAACATCTGCGCGTTGGGTCCCGAGAAAGCTAACGGACGCACAAAAGCAAACGCGACTTAACATTTCAAATGAGCTCTTTGGAACTGTTTCAACGAGATTCTGATTTTTTTTGGCTCGATTCGTAACAATGGATGAAACATGACTTCATCATTATGATCCAGAAACGAAAAAACAATCAATGTCCTGGAAAAGACCGACATCTCTCACACCAAAGAAATTCAAAAGTCAACCATCCGCTGGCAACATCATGGATTCAGGTTTTTGGGTCAGCCAGGGGTTGATAATGATTGAATACCTTGAACATGGAGCCACTATCACAGGAAAGGTTTATGCAGAACAAATAAAAAAATTACGTCAGAAAATCCTTAAAAACCGAGGAGTAAAATTCACGAAAAAAGTTTTATTCCATCAAGACAACGCGCCGGCCCGCAAGTCTGCAGTTGCTATGGCAGCAATCCAAGATGCTGGCTTTGATATCCTCGATCATCCGGCATATTCACCGTACTTAGCCCCTAGTGATTTCTACTTATTTCCGCATTTGAAAGAACACTTGAGAGGCACAAAATTTGAAGATGACTAAGAAGTGAAGGCCGACGTAAACGATTTTTTTAAGTAGTCAAGATGAAGATTGTTTTTTTTTTTAAAAAGGGAATTTTGTCTCTAGAAAAACGATTTGCTAAATGTATTGACCTAAAGGGTGATTACATCGAAAAATAAAAAAATAATAAATAAATTCATTCTCTAACATAGCCATTCTCACTACTTTTTGAACACTCCTCGTATTTATATTGATATGTAAGTTTGGAACTTTTCCAATTTCAGTTTTTTAATATGTTAGTTAAAAGGTCCATTCGTTTCCTGCAAAAATCTACTTTTAGAGCTATAGTCGTCATTTAGTAGAGGTGCTTTTATAGTGCTTTCGTTATTTTTTAATACCTCCTCATTCGTTATTTGAGAGAGAGAGAGATAGACATACCCAAACAGGTAGAAAGAGATAGAATTCTTTATGTATGATTATGCCATAAATAGTCTATTTTTATGTGTCGTACATACATTATGCTGCATGTTAAGCGGTAGGAATGTGAGGTACTCTCCATCTATAGTTACTCGCCCGAGGGCCAGTGGGAAGACGCGGGTGGATGGTATGGCATACACTAAACCTCTGTTGCACCTTCACCCCTAAGGGTAGGACCTGTGATCCAGTCGTAGGGTTGCCTTGGGTAGGTACTGTAATATAGTTTCGGTCTTGCGTATTCTATACTGCTGAAGAAATATATACGCAAAAATATTATATTATCAACACCTAAGAAATACTAAGAAACAAATTTTTTGTTTATGAAAATTCCCAATACATTAAATTTGATTAATACCATAGCTTATATATGTCGTGGGCCAATCGTTGAATTGGGCCGATGGAGATCTAGCCTAGGCATACCACGTTGTGCCGCCATTCCTTGATTTAGCTATCTATCATCCGCCATATCGTTCAATGCTTTACGATTTGCCCGATTATACTCAGGCCCATCAGCTTGGTAGGGTGACCAAAGTACTATGTAAACAGAGATGGGCAACAACCCGGGTTTTCTCCTACCGCCCATCTCTGTATGTAAGCAAATCAAATGAATTTAAATAATAATGATTTGATTGGTAAATAAAAAGGCTTTTATTATGTTTACTAAAAAATGTTCAGCATTTCAACATAAAAAACAGTAGCTGAAGCTCATAATTCACTTGGAAAAGACTTTTAGTAGCAGGTAAGTCACTGTCCACAATTTTAGTTTGCTTCTGATGTCACCATGTTTTTCACACGTAAATATAAACACACAATAGCCAGCCATATCACGATTTGCCCAAGTGATTAGTTGGGAAAATCGACAAATACCCCATTCTCGTCGATCTGCCAAACTTTTGACCGGGCCGATCGTGATTTATCTGGCCCCAAACTAGAAATGGCCATATCGTTATATTCCCGGGCAGATCTCGATCAGCCCAAATCATTGATTGGCCTAAGACATATAGATAGCTTACGTAAATATCGTTATTTTTGTTAAGAGTAGTTTCCTTAGCACATTCTTATAGGCAGCCAAAAGGCATTCTGAAAAAATGTGAATGATTGAAAAGTGCTTTCAATATGCTTATTTGAATAAAATAATTAATATCCTAATGCATTTGTTACAATTTACCTATATACGGTTTAATTTTAATAGTTTAATTTTTTAAATATTTACTTTATTTCTCTAAAGAAAAACCTAGCCCCCGAGCCTTAAATAATGCGCCACAATACAAAAGACATGAACGCGTGCTATGTTGCCTAATGGAGGGTTAATTTGCCTTGAAAGACACGTCATCGTAAACTTGACTAATAATTAAATATATCTTATTAATAATGAAGTACCTTAAAGACAAATAAATTTTAATATAGGATTAGATTTGTGATAATCGGGATTATTATCTATACTTATACTTACGTTAAACAAACATTTTGTTGATATAGGCTAGAGAACGCCTATATTTTGTTAATTTCATTTATGCATACTGTGAATAAATCATGTTCATTAATTAAAACTTATAATATAATAATAGTTAATTATTCTGATTATCACAAGTCTAATCATTTCTCTCTGTCTCTAGTCTCGGTGGCGAACTTTCTCAATTCCCGATGGGTAAACAAAAGTCTATTAAATCGAGCACCTCCGTGCTTTGGAAGGAGCTTTAAGCCGTTGGTCCCGGCTGCAACTGCACTCGTTAATACCCACAGATCTGCATTGAGTTTGCGTGGTAAGTCATTGCCATACGCACCAACCAGCAATCAGCGTAAGTCATTGCTATTCTCTCTATTCGATTCCATCCATAAGAAAAACCCGAGTCCCAGAAGTGGGGGCGTTAAAAAGCTGGTGATGAATTATCTCTTAAAAAGCGAACGTCTAGCAACTAAATATGTATAAAAGGTATCATTTTTCAAAATAACGATATGATAATTAGAATATGTATATTATTGAAAGTAAATCCGGTTTTTATTTCAGAATTCAAAAAGGACTGTAATGTGACAGCGCAGTAGAAAATGACAGTCTCAAAAAAATGCTCATTTCATAAACTTCATCGATAGTTCATTTTGGTTTCGTTATCGTACTGTACACCAGGGGCCTTATTCTTTAATTTCGGTATCTATAGCCATCCTTTTCAAT